ACAAGATGATTTACACAAACAAATTTAATGGAATAACAGACAAAAAATTTTAATTAAACAGAGCCTCTAAAATTAACTATATATGTATTACACCGCTCGGACTACCTTTTTCCTGACTGTTTGATTCGCCACCTCTGTGCGCGCTGTTAAATCAATAGCCTGGTTGCAGTCCCTGCTGCCGAGACAGTGGGTGACACCAATATAAATTCCCTGCCGCTATTGGTGTGAGCTTTCCATAGGGGTATTCCACTAATGTGGCGATATACACATATATAAAAAAAGACTGCCTTAAAGTTCTACCACTCATCAGCGAGTTGTGCCGCGCCCTTCTGCATCCACGTGCGATCGTTAGTTTTGGGATATAATGGCACACTAGTACAAAAACCCAAAAAAAGACACTAAAAACTACTCCACTATAAAATATTTTCCACGCTACTCACATCTCGCCGGGGGACTTGCTGCCTGCTTGATGCTCCTAGGGAGTGGGGCGCTGTATGTACTCGAACTCGTTGCTTNGACAGTGGGTGACACCAATATAAATTCCCTGCCGCTATTGGTGTGAGCTTTCCATAGGGGTATTCCACTAATGTGGCGATATACACATATATAAAAAAAGACTGCCTTAAAGTTCTACCACTCATCAGCGAGTTGTGCCGCGCCCTTCTGCATCCACGTGCGATCGTTAGTTTTGGGATATAATGGCACACTAGTACAAAAACCCAAAAAAAGACACTAAAAACTACTCCACTATAAAATATTTTCCACGCTACTCACATCTCGCCGGGGGACTTGCTGCCTGCTTGATGCTCCTAGGGAGTGGGGCGCTGTATGTACTCGAACTCGTTGCCTGTCCTCTAACTCGTGGTCTCTTCTACGTGCAGTTCCTGCCGTGGACGGGTGTGTTTCCGCGGGATATTTGCGCGTGCAATCGGGGTCGTTCTCCCCCTCCAAACTCGCGATCCCGGGTAAAAAGAACACGGCACTTATTTTTTTTCAAGAAAAAAAACACCGCACTGTACTATAATTTTTTTTTTTTCGTGTAAAGACCAAACTTCACAAAAACGAGTATCATTCGCGCACTGTGGATTCGGTTCTTGTTGAACACGAGGCAGATCTATCCTATGTCCTACAGTTACCCCCTTTTTATAGGCCGTTTTCAACCTAGTGTTCTATCAAAACACCGTTTTTTCTGAATAGTTTTCATTTTTCTATTTGGCCAATCACAAGTGCGCGCACCCTACATCTATCCCTTTCCCGGCGAATTCCATTATTCACCACACCCCAACTCGCAGTCTGGCAGCCCGAGAGCATGAAAGCTTAGTAAATTTCCCTTTGTGGTATATTTTTGTTCCCATTGATTTATTTGACATTTCCAACCCAAACAATGGCAATCAGCAATAAAAAAAGTGCTGCATAAACAACTACCTTATTTCATTTTAAATGTGGATTTGCTTTCTTCCGAGCGGACCAAGGATTATTCCTAGAGAATATAAAAGGAGCTGTTTGCTACGGCATTGCCCAAAAAACGCTATTCAACGGCAGAACGTGCCAGAGGTTTTTTTTTGCTGTGTCACGACAGTTTAAATCCGCGTGTGAGGTGGACAATTCGCTAAGTGCCGGAAAGTTTTTTGGGAAAGTCCGCGCGAAAGTTCTTACATTCGGTGGAGTCAACAACAAAGAGCATCGGGAAGGGCCGCAGGGGGTTATCTTGACCCGAAAAAATCGTCAGACTGCGAAAAGTGTGCGGAGTCCACGAGAAGGCGACGTGTGAACAGGAGTATGTAAAATACAAAGGAGCTGTTGATGTAATGACTAGTCCCGGAGGTACGTGTACGTGTAAGCGTTTTTAAATTTTTGCTGATAGCCGTCAAAAATTTGTGCCGGATGTTAGGAGTGCGGCGAAAATATTTAGTCTCCCCACGAGAAGAACTAGAGGGCGCGGCACAACTTTTGTGTAAGTGCTATTTTTTAAGTGTATTTCTACTTTTATTTTGTCAAACATTTTTTGGGCCTAAGTCACGCCCGCNTAGCCGTCAAAAATTTGTGCCGGATGTTAGGAGTGCGGCGAAAATATTTAGTCTCCCCACGAGAAGAACTAGAGGGCGCGGCACAACTTTTGTGTAAGTGCTATTTTTTAAGTGTATTTCTACTTATATTTTGTCAAACATTTTTTGGGCCTAAGTCACGCCCGGTGTCGAAAGCACAAGAACGTGCAGAATTTTATTGTATCACACGACACTCTCGGTATCGCAACTTGCAGAACGGCTGCAACATTTTTCTGTTGGAAACATTTGCTGTTAGCCCGCCGCGGTTAAAGTGTGCAAAAGCTTTCAGACATTGAAGGACGGATATAAAGCCGCTCACGAGGGTAGTGCTGACAAATTTCTGCCCGTGGATGTGCGTTTGCTGTGTAGCTGATTTAATTAAGTATATTTTTTTTAGTTAGTAAGTTATATACGTATATGCCCATATATCTGTTCTGGTATTTCTTTTTTGTTCCGACATTGATTTGTTTTTTTTATTGTTCTATTGGTGTACTGAATCCAAAACCTACCCCCCATATTGAAAAAGAATTCTATCATTTTTGAGATTAAAAATCCCCATTAGAACCACCCCTTAAAGAGCTCTTTCTGGCAGGTTTTAGGAAGGATATAAATGTTAATACTCTTGTGAGTCCAAGTGTTTGTTCGAAGTGTATGCAATTTGTTTTAATATGGAGACGGTTTGAGGTCCAAAAGAGAATTTTTATCTACAATTTGAGAATATATTTTGTACCATTAATATAAAAGTTAATCCTTTTTTTGAATTTAAACCTTACAAATTTAGTATAACTTCTAAGATGGTAAACCAAATAAATTGAATTTGCATTTGAAAAGAAAGACGTAAATATGTTTGGTTTTTAAGGAATTATAAAGAGGGGGATGAGTTCAGAAGGATGAGGTAAGAGGAAGTTGGTACGGTGGACGTGATAGGAATATAAAGGGGGTTGTCAAGAAAAGAAAAATGCAACGCCGAGAATAGGCAACCAAGGTCGGGAGGGCGATCAACGATGTGATGTGGAGCGTTGCAGAACATCTTCTTTTTGTTACGCCACCCCACGGCCTGACGCAGCGGGTTGGGGACCCACGATCCGCGCTTGAACTAGCCGAGGAGCTGCTTCTGGCAAGATGACTTTGGGGCTGGCACCAGTGGTAAGCACGGGGGAACAAAAATGGCACTCAACGATAAATGGCACAGTGCCAGTGCCAGAAAAAAATCTGTTCTGAGAATCAAGAACGTTATAAAGTAGTTGATTTTTTTTTAATTTAAGTTGTGAAGTTTAATATCAATCCTGTTTCCCTTTTCGTACAAATTCGCGAAAAAATGGCAAAAAAAGAGGAACAATTCTTCGTTTCTGCTGACTTACGAATATCTAGTCAATAAATTTCGTAAATGCACAGAACAGCAATTTTCCTTTTTTTTTTGTATATATAGGCGGTAAAATATACGGTGACTTGGTTGTCCACCGAGCAACAACCAGTCGCACCGCAAGCGAATAATTAATTTTTTTTCGTTTAAACAGTTTTGGAGTCTTTTTTGTTGGAAAGATTTTGGGGCGATTATTTTTTGCTGATTTGAGGGTATCCAAAAAGATACACCTCCATTGCAGCAAGAACTCCGATCCCATTGCATTTCCCTTTAACCTAGATTCATACTCTTTTTTTTTATATATATAAAGGTTTGCCCAGTGGCTTGGGAAAAGTATGATAGAAAAATACCAATCGCACTGAAGAGAGCTGAGTGCTCATTTGGCCGCGGTAAAGTCTGTAGTGGCCTAGGAGATAACAATTTTACCCTAGTTGCAGAAAACCTTTAGTTAAAAATTTTAATACATTTGTTTTAATTCCTCAACAAATGAGTCAGGCAGTTTACCCAATATAGATTTTGATGAAGGAGCAGTTGGCCCAGCAGTCCAAGAGCCACCTATCCCACCCGTCCCAAATATAACAAGCAATCTACATTTACCTCCGTCGAGCGAACATACCAGTAGGTCCAATGTTAATGAAGGGGCAGTCGGCCCAGCAGTCCAAGAACAACCTATCCTACCAGGCGCAATTACTAGCAATCTCAATTTTCCTCTAATAAGCGTACAAACCCGTAGTGCCCGTGTTAGCGAAATGTTTCCATACCCAAGGTCGTCGCGGGAAGAAATCACGCCAATCGTCCGAGACATAATACGGGATGTAAAGAATTCCTGGAAAGATGAGGTAATGGAAGAATTAAGGTCTGTGTTCAGGGCAATGATAGGCAATATGAGAAGTTTGTCCAACACCCAGCAGACGCGCACCCAACCACAGGCCAGCAACTGTGGGAACCATCAACATTCCAGTAATGGGTTCTCTCCGAATAGACGACGCCGTGACGAGCTCCCTGCTCCCACGCGAAACAAGGTCAACGGGGCGCAGTACCAAGAAATGGCAACAGAAATACGGAGCCTCTACATCTCCCGAATCCTTTGGCACAACAATCGCGAACGCGTGTAACGCCGGATCAAGTATATAATGGGCGCGAACAGGTTAGTCACCAGTCTCCTCAGGTACCACATGGCATGGCTGAAAACAACAGAAATCGTCAACTACGCAAAGAAGTTAAAATTCATAAGTGGGGCTAACTTACCAGGGCCACAACGACAAAATCGCTGTGAAGGATTTCCTGTTCCGTCTGGATCATTTGCGGCAGCATCATGGATGTGACTGGGCAGATGTAATGCGGGAGTTTCACCATTTATTGAGCGGAGAAGCTAGAGAGTGGTACTGGCTCTTCCTTAAGACTTACGGGGCCATATACTGGCATGTTCTACAACATGCCTCGCAGCGACAGTTCAGCTCTTATCGATCCGAGTTCGAGTTGCAAAGAGATCTGACGCAACGGAATCAACAGCCAGGTGAATCCGTCGATACCTTTTCCCACGCTATGGGTGTTTTGCGCTCACGCCGCGGGGCCCTANCAACGGAATCAACAGCCAGGTGAATCCGTCGATACCTTTTCCCACGCTATGGGTGTTTTGCGCTCACGCCGCGGGACCCTATAGNTCACCATTTATTGAGCGGAGAAGCTAGAGAGTGGTACTGGCTCTTCCTTAAGACTTACGGGGCCATATACTGGCATGTTCTACAACATGCCTCGCAGCGATAGTTCAGCTCTTATCGATCCGAGTTCGAGTTGCAAAGAGATCTGACGCAACGGAATCAACAGCCAGGTGAATCCGTCGATACCTTTTCCCACGCTATGGGTGTTTTGCGCTCACGCCGCGGGGCCCTACAGAGTACGAAGCAGTGAAAATTATCAAGCGTAACGTTAGGGAGTAATTGGCGCGAATTGTTTACCCAATTCTCATATGGACAGTGGATCAATTGCGCGTAGGGTGCATAGAGGCAGAGAGGATTTTTCCAAGACGTGAGCGTGTGATACTGGGTAGTGATCCTCAGAGAACGTATCATGTTATTGAGCTGGCGTTTGATAGAAGCAGTGATCATGAAATCGACGACGATGAGGGTTAAGTCGTCNTTGCTTTGCGGCTTAATCTCTTTAATTATTGGGGAATAACAGACTCATGGGATGGAGCTAGATGTTAGTGGGGTCTTATTTGTTGCCCTTTGTTTTCAAAGGTTTGCGTTTTACATGGTGCTCATGGGTTAGAGCTTATGGCATTAGGGTCTTATTTATTGCCCTCTATTTTCAAACCAAATACTGTTTCTTGCTCTATTACATTATCTTGTATTATTCGGGCTCCGGGTTGGAGAATTTGTGGAAGTTTGTCGCTTCCAATGACCAGATCTATGGGTGCTGGTTTGCTGAAATGGGGGTCAGCTAGTTCATGGGCATTGAACTCTTTGATAAATTCAGGACTTACGGGAGAAGTNCTCCCGAATCCTTTGGCACAACAATCGCGAACGCGTGTAACGCCGGATCAAGTATATAATGGGCGCGAACAGGTTAGTCACCAGTCTCCTCAGGTACCACATGGCATGGCTGAAAACAACAGAAATCGTCAACTACGCAAAGAAGTTAAAATTCATAAGTGGGGCTAACTTACCAGGGCCACAACGACAAAATCGCTGTGAAGGATTTCCTGTTCCGTCTGGATCATTTGCGGCAGCATCATGGATGTGACTGGGCAGATGTAATGCGGGAGTTTCACCATTTATTGAGCGGAGAAGCTAGAGAGTGGTACTGGCTCTTCCTTAAGACTTACGGGGCCATATACTGGCATGTTCTACAACATGCCTCGCAGCGATAGTTCAGCTCTTATCGATCCGAGTTCGAGTTGCAAAGAGATCTGACGCAACGGAATCAACAGCCAGGTGAATCCGTCGATACCTTTTCCCACGCTATGGGTGTTTTGCGCTCACGCCGCGGGGCCCTACAGAGTACGAAGCAGTGAAAATTATCAAGCGTAACGTTAGGGAGTAATTGGCGCGAATTGTTTACCCAATTCTCATATGGACAGTGGATCAATTGCGCGTAGGGTGCATAGAGGCAGAGAGGATTTTTCCAAGACGTGAGCGTGTGATACTGGGTAGTGATCCTCAGANGGGGTCTTATTTGTTGCCCTTTGTTTTCAAAGGTTTGCGTTTTACATGGTGCTCATGGGTTAGAGCTTATGGCATTAGGGTCTTATTTATTGCCCTCTATTTTCAAACCAAATACTGTTTCTTGCTCTATTACATTATCTTGTATTATTCGGGCTCCGGGTTGGAGAATTTGTGGAAGTTTGTCGCTTCCAATGACCAGATCTATGGGTGCTGGTTTGCTGAAATGGGGGTCAGCTAGTTCATGGGCATTGAACTCTTTGATAAATTCAGGACTTACGGGGGAAGTCGCTAAGTGCTCCGTTAATTGCTTGAGCATGACAGCTTTTGTAGTTGTCTTCCGATTTGCCTTGCGCAGAGTTATATTTAGTGCACATACGTTCTTAGGGCGTTTTGAGTTACATCCACCAATTGTAAATACTTCGGTTGGGAGCTTCAACCTCTTTTGAGCTGCTGACGAAATAAAGGTTCGTTGGGACCCTTGGTCAAGCAATGCTCTGAGTTAAAACTGTTCTCCTCGATGCTCTATTGTCACTATTGCGGTTGGGAGGAGAACTTCCTTTTCTTTGGCAATTTGGAGCGAGTTAACATGCGCGGAGTTTGAGCAGGGGGTTGCTTATCCGACTTGTAGCTTGATAACTCTTGGGGGCAATCTTTGGTGATCGCGTGCGCTATGCTGTGTTGCGCAACTACTTTTTGAGTATGCATATTGGTTGGGTGGTGATCATAGGGGATCACTTGCTCTTTGTTTTGTGGCCCTTTGGGAATGACCATAGCTGTTATTTATTTGTCGCCTGGGAGTAATCGACTTCTTAAGATTTTCATTTATGCTAGCCTTTTTAGAATGGCCTCTGGATGAGTGTACATGCAGTAAGGAGTTATGTCTTTTCTGACAATACATGCATGCGAATTGTGACTTGCGTTCTGCCAAACTATGATTGAAAGCAAGGCAGTTGGGACATAATTTATGTGTTTTAACAAATTGTATGCGCTTTTGTGTAGAGAATTTTTTAAATATGGTGCATCTCTTCATCGGATGTGGAGTTTCGCATAAGTAACAGGAAAACACCGTTTTAGAATTTGTTAGAAAAACATTGATTTTACGGTTGGATTTAGAGAGATTAGAACTTCTGGGTACACGTTTTGGAAATTTCATTTCTACCCTTTCTAGTACTTGAGATCGGGACGTTACAAATTCGTCCATTTGAGACCATAAGGGGAGATCTCTTCTTGTGGGCAATGATTGCTCCCATAGTAATCGGGTATCTTTGGGACATTTGGCTACGCAAATATGTATTAGAATGGGGTCCCAGCTGTCTGTCAAAACCTTTTGGGTATTTAAAATGGACAGACATGTTTTGATTTTGCTTTGGAGATCAATAATTTGTTTACTATCTTCTTCGTGAACACTAGGAAGATTCATTAGAACTTGGATTTGGTTATCCACTAGTATGCGTTTATTTTTGTAACGCTCGCTTAATGCTTGTCATGCCAGATCAAAATTCTCGTCGCTAAGAGGGAACTGCTTGACGATTTGACCGGCTTGTCCTTTTGTCTTATACCGGAGGTGGTATAATTTCTGAGCGGATGATAATTGGGGGTGGTTTATGTAGACGGCTGTAAACATATCTCGGAAAGATTGCCATTCTTCATAACCACCGTGGAAAATCTCTGTATCACATGGCGGGAGTTGCAGATACATGTGAGGATTTCCATCTGTGTGCAATATCTGTGCTTCTCGGGAGTGAGAGCTTGGGGGACTTATACCTCGGATCAATTTGAGTTGATCTAAGATCTTCGCTTTAGTCATTTCATAAGTGTCAATACTAAATTGATACTTGCCTTCCGCCAACGCCAAGAAATTATCTGGAAGGTCTTCATCCTCTTTTTGGAAAAGTGAGTCATATGCGGCTTGTAACCGCGCCCAGAGATTGTCAATAGTTCTTTCTTTTATTTCGAGGGCCGACTCTGTGAATTTCTCTATGGGAGACGAGGTGAGTCTGGACAATATCTCATGAAGCCATCATTTTCGATATTAAATTTTTGTGCACACGGGTCATGAGATTCTCTTTTTATAAGCTTTTATTTAACTTGGTCATCCCGCGCAAATCGCGGAAATTTCCAATCGATTTTAAACTGACTTCCCGACAAGTTAGAGACTTGAAATTTTCAGCATAGTTGCAATCACGATGACACTGCAATTTAAAATGTAAATGAATTCTCCATATGGTCCAGGGGTCTTGATTCAAAGGCATTCAAAAAATAGTAAGATTTATGGCTAACAGAGCGTAATTTGCCAAAGAACGTAAAACCACTACAAAATTGTTAAAGCTGCCGACGCGCTGCGGCGTTAGTCTAGCAAAGCTATTCCCAGTCTAGATATGAATCTCGTTGTAGGCATCATATCAAGGAGATACAATCAAACGACTCCAGATGTCGCCCCGCCAGAAGAAGTTAAATATTGCGCCTAAATATATGCCATGCTACAGCGGAAATGGACGACACGCCATTTCTTTAAATAAAATTAACTGCTGCTATATGTGCATATGTATGTTTATACAAAACGTAAGCAAACAACATTTTGCTTGCCGAGTCTTCTGTTCTCTTTCATTACAAGTTAAATTATTTTAATATCTATTGCAAAATTTTGTACATGAAATAAAATAACACTTTTTAATACACAACGCTTTTATAAATGGACTAAAAATTATAAAATA